TCTGATGTGGTCATTGCATGTTTGATGTGATGAAGATCTGCTGGGGTGTGCTCCATAGGGGATGTATCATTGCATATCTCCACTAACAATGTATGAATAATCCAGTTTCCCCCTCTTCTCACTATCACTATGTGTAATTACTGTTGTTCATTTTAGTTACTCTGTCATGGTATCTTATTTTACTTTTTATTTACATTTCCTTAATTGGTAATCATGTTGAATATCTTTCCACAGGTTTATTTGTCATTTACATATCTTTTGGTGAAATGTCTGCAACTCATTACTTTCTCATTTTTTATCTTCTTAACAGAATTTTTCAAAGTAAAAGTTATCTTGATAGAGTTCAATTTATGAAAATTTCCTTTTATAGAGAGTTTTTTGGTGTCAAGTCTAAGAACTATTTGTCTAGATTTAAATCCAAAATTTTTTAATTTTAGTTTAGTTTTAAGTTTTCATTTATACATGTGATTCATTTTTGAATTACTTTATGTATAAGGTGCAAGACTTAGATTGAGCTTTATTCTGTCCCCTTCTGAATGTTCAATTGCTTGAGAGCCATTTATTGGAAAAGTTAACTTTTCCCTATTAAATTGCCATGGAAAAGTTGATCTGAAGATAGAAGGTGATAAATCTTTCTCTCAAAAATTTGGGGAGAGAGGTAAGGAACAAAAACACCAAACTTCACCTACAGGTACCTGCAGAATCGAACGTTTCTCTGAACTTCAGCTACTGGTCCATGCAAAATTGAACCTTTATCTGTACATTTGAATGTCTCCAACTCTACTCTGCACAGGAAGGTAAAGGGCACCCCTACATCAGTAGATAGCTGAACTGTTTATTGCAGTTGACTGTGCAGTTGATAGGGAACAACTGAAAACTGTAAATAAGTTCATAGTGAGAGGCTCAGTCTTGGTGTCTGCTTAGAAAAACGTGCAGCAAGAAGTAACTAATTGGAGTAAAACTGCATAAAATATTCTCTCCTTCATCAAAACTAGTTAATTATTCTATCATAGGGGTTACACTTTTAGTGCATGTTTTCTAAGTACACTTAGAATGTGTGTGTGTGTGTGTGTGTGTGTGTGTGTGTGCCTTCTTTAGGACAAATAAATATAAACAAGGGATATAGCAGCATAGTTAAATCACTCTCTGTCATTACACCATAAGCACTATGAGAGTAAAATATGAGACTGATTTCCATTGAGTTCCTACCACCTGAGATAATGGCATATACTTGATGCATAAGCAATACATATTTGTATTTTTTAAATTGTATTTATTTATTTTTTTAATGTGTAATGATCGGTACTCTGAACTCTGAATATGTATTGTTGAAAGAATGAAAGTAAATTATATATTTGGGAGAAAAGTATTTCTTTTTTGCCTTTCTTATAATGTAATTTACGACAATACAAATAAAACCCTTGTTTGACTATTAAACATAGATTAGTTCTTAAAAGACTTTTCAGATTCCTGCTTGGAATATTTCTGCTTCTTCATATTTTGACACAGTTCATATTGCATAAACTCCCAAGGCAGAATTATATATTTTTAACTTTCAAGATTGAATGCATAAAAAATTATCACAATAAAGCTCTCTTTTAGATGACTATAACTAATGATATTCAATAGAAGAAAATATATATTTTTCTTGATTTCAAAGCACCTTCAAAAATGTTATTTAGGTATTTTTTAAAAATTGTAATTTCTTGAACATCTGATGACTAGATGGGGAAAAAATTGTTAATTCCCTGTTTTCTATTTTCTCATTTTGTTTCTATTTTGTTGCACTGTGAAGCAACTGCAAAGCACCACTTAACACCTCTGAACACATGCTATTATTTTGAGTCACAAAAATATTAGGTCACTGCAAACGAACGTAATTGCAGTTTTTGCCATTTTTAGGGGGTGTGTGTGTATATATATATCTTTTATTTTTATTTATTTATTACTATTTTTTTGATACTGAGTCTCTCTCTGTTGCCCAGGCTGGAGTGCAGTAGCAGGAACTTGGCTCACTTCAACCTCTGCCTCCCGCCTCCTGGGTTCAAGTGATTCTCTTGTCTCAACCCCACAAGTAGCCGGGAGTACAGGCATGCACCACCACGCCTGGCTAGTTTTTGTATTTTTTAGTAGTGATGGGGTTTTGCCATGTTGGCCAGGCTGGTCTCGAACTCCTGACCTCAGGTGATCCACCTGCCTAGGCCTCCCAAAGTGCTAGGATTACAGGCGTGAGCCACCAAGCCTGACCTATATTGTGTTTTCATAGAATAGTATTTCAATAGCTTTAGATATGTTCCAAATGAAAAAAACATCAACTACAATAAATTAATTGGGGTTGAAAATTAGCTAAATTTCAAATATAGTGAAGTAGTATAGCTTTAACACAAACTGAGTAATTTTGAATACTTTTACTTAGTAGTGAAGTAATCAACCAAGCAAAATATCAGAAAAATATAGTCTTCCAAATATTGAATATAAACTTTTGGTTTAAAGTATCATAGTGCACTGGGTTTAGGGTAGCTGCTTCCAACAGTTCTAAAATATACCCCAAGAAGTGCTAAAAAGTCGTGGATCTGAGTTTTTCCCTAATGGAAACAATATGGAATATTTTTCCCTCAAGGGACATTAACACACAAAGACATGCGCATAGATAGACAATAGATAGATAGATGGATAGATAGATAGATATATAGATAGATAGGTAGGTAGGTAGGTAGATAGATAATAGATAGATAGATAGATAGATAGATAGATAGATAGATAGAAAAAAGATGAGGCAAGCAATTAAATTTGGTGACAGTGATAAAGTCTATTAACATCCCTAGGGTTATACTAACGTAGCAAGGGCTATATAACATTCATATCACTGGGAATGTACTTTGGTTTTTAGATTCAGTGGAATCTAAGACACCATGGTTCCCAAACATGGACTTCTCCACTTTTTCCTCCTGAAACTAATGCAATGGGTGGGCTTCAGTCTGAGGTAAGATCCCAAAGGTCTAGAGTGCACTATGAATTTTCCTTTGTTTTCTGAGCTCCTTCCACACCCTCCAATCAATACCCAGCACTTCAGCCAATGTTTGCCTAATTTAAAATTCTTGTGACTACATGCACTGTTTCCCATTACATTTTCTGTTATTTATTTTTTGGCATAAAAAGAAAGTTGTTTCTCTTGCATTTACCATTTATTTTGCCAAATTTTGGTCATTATTACTAATTTTATTTTTGTTGTAGTTGATTTTCCTGGACATTTTAAAAGTTCAAACTATAAACATAGTGAGATTATAATTTTTATGCTGATAGGTTTATATCTTTTTAGTGATTTAATGTAAATGAAGAGTACCACCAAAGGAAGCTGAGTATTACCTGTGATTGCAAGCATTCTTGCCTTTTTCCAACTTTAATTACATTCTTAGTATTTAAGCTCCATCACATTTGCAGTGGGTATCTAGTCTATTTAGACAAATGTGTAATTTAATTTAATTTTTAATTTTTATATCTGGATAAATGAAAGTAGTTATCTATTGCTTTGGGATAACTATTAGGAAACTAATATGTCTGCTTACTTTTTCCTTTGTCTCTTTAAATTAAGGAAATACGTTACAATCTATACCACTAAACCATCGTTGCATTTCTGAAATGTACCCTACTTTGTCAATGTATTTATTGGAAATCTTGATAGCAGGCAACTCTGACAATTAATTTGAGCCGTAATGAACTTAATATAGTCTATTATGCATTTATTGGAATTTCTGGTAGGGCTGGAGAATCAAACTGTTTGTTTTTCATTCAGTAACGGTGCAACTAGGGGAAACACCTAACTAGACTGCTGTTTTCTGTGGTAGGAAAGCATTTCTATTGTGAGCGGCTTCTTTCTGACACGATGCTAGGAACTGGATAGTAGTTCCTTTGCCACAGGTGATCCAAGATCATGAAATACCACCAAGTCATAAAACAATGCTCCATTTGTGCCCACTAGTTCACAGTGCTTACTTTCATCCTTCTTGTCTTTCTCTTTTATTTCTGCTTGGCAAAACCTATGTCATGTGAATTCAAGCTGCAAGGGACTTACTAAATACAGTTATATGGAATTAGTACTAAGTGAGCCAATCTGCAGTAATCAGCAATAGGCCAAACATTTGTTTCTGAAACCCCCATAGACAGCCTTCTTCTAACTTAAAATTTGCAACTGCAGACATATCAACCAACAGCACGCTTCCATGTAGCATAATATTTCTTTCTTTCAAATAATTATAATCACATTAGCCACTTAAGATTGAAAACCCAAGTATCATCAGTCACTAAATCTATCTTTAGGCAATGTTCACATCCCATCTATTAAAAATCACAACCTAGCCTGTAATCACTCAGCTAAATTACAATCTTCACCCACAAGGCCTATCATAAAGAGCTGGTGAAATGGAGCAGCGAAAATGCTAAATACATGATCACATACTAAAACAAAGGAGTCCATTAAAGAAAACATGGGCAAATATTATAATTCTTGTTTATGAAACTAGCCGCAAAGATATAGTTACTAATTACAATTTCTCTTTGTCATTCAACATCTTCACCAGAGATAATTTTTACCTCGTGAATGACTCATTTCTCTATTATTGAAAATCATGTCTTTTGGGGTTGGACCTAATTTCAGTTTTATCCTATGATGGAGTAGTAAAAAAGAGCTTATATTCTTTCATACAATACAGTATTATTTTTGTTTTTAATCACCTTCAGTTCACACAGCTCAAAAAGAGTTTCCTCTCTTTCTCTCTTGCTCTATTTCTTTCTATCATCCTTTCTGCTCTTTTGTTTTTCTGTTCCAGTGGCAAAATATTCTTTCTCTCTTACTTATGCTCCATTTGGCCAGTTGCATGAGGATTACAAATAATGTTCAAATTGCAATCTGAATATTCCATTAGAAAGATCCATTTGTTTAGCCCTTGGCAAATTCAATTTCCCACTGGGTAGAAGTCACAAACTGCATGCGGTTATGTTACCAACAAAGTTTAGAGACCATCAAGTACTTTCTTAGTCTTTGTAACATAAGATATCTGTATTTGACTTTTACTTTTTGAGAAGACATCCTAATATACTCTAGAAAAGCAGACAAAAGTTAGATCATGGGGGTGGCATGACATTAAATATAATGAGGTGTACCTCTTAACTTCTAGGGAAAGGTATTTTAGAAAGGCACCCTATGTACTTGTACTTTACCTCATATTTCCTCTCTAGCAAGTTCTACAGAACTATTTCATTACTTGTAGATCAGCATGATTTCCTCAAAAATCCCTATGAATAAGTTATAGAACATATCTAGAAAGGCATGACAGTAACACAAAACCACTGAGCTATACTTTCTGAACTGTTAGGTACAATTAAATTTTATTTTCATCTGAAAAGAGGTTTGATAATCAATAGCTAGAAGCCAGGGTCCAAGTGACTGTTTTGATTTTCTCCAGAAAAGAGAACATAACTAGAACTGCACTGGTTGCAGTTGGATACACCATCTGATTCAGATTACAGTAATGCGTTGCCAGAACCTAAGAACCATCTGATATCAGAACAGGTCAATCTGGGCAAAGTAACTACGTAAGAGATTAAAAACTGCCACTCCTGAATCCTTTAAGTTTTTAATGGTGATTCTTACTTTTATTGGCAGTTTCCCCAAGAGTATGGTGCTACTTTCATGGCAGCAAAGATTTGGATGCAATCCTACTGGAGCTAACATTATGAACACAGTGTCTGGTAAGTATACACCTATTCATAAATTATTAATAACCTATATCTATTTACCTGATCTAGTTTTGTGAGTGGAAATGTTGAAACTATTGAAGATTTTAGAGCATAAGACTTGCAGTTTTGTTTTACTTGATCATTAGTTCTCTATGTTAGGCTGAGATTACACATATTAAGTATATATGTATTTAAATACAGCTACTGTAAATTCACTAACTCTCAACAACAGCGTTAGCAGAATCAGATTCTTAATTATAAAAATTCAGTGAGTTTAAGTTATTGGAGATATTGTGGAGTAGTCATTGAATATGCTGTTATTTAGTCATTCCTTGAGTAGAAAATTTAAGCCTAGAGCATATAGTTCTTTTCCTTTATGCTCTGCAGCAGAGTTAGAAGCTGTTAGTTCATTCTGCAGTAGTTGTATTGCCCTGCTTTTAATTTAGCCTATTTCAGGAGCAACTCAGTCATCCACCTAAAGTAAATCAGGAGCACTATTTTTCTCTCAAATTTTATTTTAGATTCATAGCGTACACTTGCAGGTTTGTTACAAAGTTATAGTGTATGATGCTGAGGTTTGCAGTATAATTGAACTCATGATGCCTGAGGTGAGCATAGTGCCCAATAGGTAGTTTTTCTATCCTTTCCCCATCTTTCTCACCCCTCTTGTAGTCTCCAGTGTCTACTGTTGCCATCTCTATGTCCATGTGTACCCAGTGTTTAACTCCCACTTGTAAGTGAGAACATGCAGTATTTGGTTTTATGTTCCTGAGTTAATTTGCTCAGGATAGTGGCCTCCAGTGCATCCATGTTGCTGCAAAGGATGTGATTTATTCCGTTTCATGGCTGCATAGTATTCTATGGTGTATATATACCACATTTTCTTTATCCAATCCTCCACTGATGCACACCTAGGTGGATTCCACATCTGCTATTGTGGATAGTGCCGCGATTAACATGCAAGTGCATGGGTCCTTTTGGTCTTTTGGTCTTTTGTTCAAAATAAATTTTGAACTATTTATTTTCTTTGGGTATATACCCTGTCATGCGATTGCGGGGTAGGATGGTCGTTCTCTTTTTAGTTCTTAGAGGTATCTCCAAATTGCTTTCCAAAGTGGCTGAACCAGTTTATATTCCTATCAACCGTGTAAAAGCATTCCCTTTTCTTGCAGGCTCACCAATATCTGTTATTGTTTGACTTTTTTATAATGGTCCTTCTGACTGGTGTGAGCTAATATCTCATTTTGATTTTAATTTGCATTTCTCTGCTGATGATTAGTGATTATGAGCATTTTTCATATATTTGTTCACTGCTCTTTGTCTTCTTTGAGAAGTGCAGGTTCATGTCCTTTGTCAACCTTTTTTTTTTAAATTTTTTGAGAGGGAGTCTTTCTCTGCTGCCCTGGCTGCGGTGCAGTGACACAATCTCGGCTCACTGCAACATCCACCTCCCTGGTTCAAGCAATTCCCCTGCCTCAGCCTCCTGAGTAGCTGAGAATACTGGCGCATGCCACCATGCCCAACTAATATTTTTGTATTTTTAGTAGAGAGAGGGTTTCACCATATTGGCCAGACTGGTCTAGAATGCCTGACCTCAGGCAATCTGCCCGACTCGGCCTGCCAAAGTGCTGGGATTTCAGGTGTGAGCCACTGCGCCCCACCTTGCCAACTTTTTAATAGGATTATTTGTTTTTTGCTTGTTGACTTCTTTAGGTTCCTTATGAATTCTGGATTAGATGTTTGTTGGATGCATATGTTTTCTTCCATTTCTCAGGGTTGTCTGTTTACACTGTTAATAGTTTCTTTTGCTGTGCAAAAGCTCTTTAGTTTAATTAGATTCCACTTGTCAATTTTTGTTTTCATTGCAATTGCTTTTGAGGACTTAGCCATAAATTCTTTGCTATGGCAGGAGCGCTTCTTTTCTTACTACTATGCATCACCAATATCTCCCTATTCTAATAGTAACTGTAATATTAATATTGTTGTCTCTCAAGATGTGCAGCTGATAGGTTCTAGGAACCCCCAGGGATATAAAAATCTGTGCATTCTCAATTCCTGAAGTCAGTCCTGTTGAACCTTCAGATAAGAAAAGTTGACATACTGTACACGTCATTTCCTCCACATTGGGTGCTATAGCCAGGCATATTTCTTGGGCCAACCCTTGTTCACATTCTTTTACCCTACCACCAGAAAATATGCACACAACTCATTTTTCTTTGGCATCCAAAGAATGTAGAAGGACCCAGATTCCCATATACCTTCCATAAAATAAGTGCACTCAGATGCTAAGCAGAGCAAAAGGAGCTGTAAGTCATTAACATCAACCATCTTCATCAGCCCATATAGTTCTTTTCCTTTATGCTCTGCAGCAGAGTTAGAAGCTGTTAGTTCATTCTGCAGTAGTTGTATTGCCCTGCTTTTAATTTAGCCTATTTCAGGAGCAACTCAGTCATCCACCTAAAGTAAATCAGGAGCACTATTTTTCTCTCAAATTTTATTTTAGATTCATAGCGTACACTTGCAGGTTTGTTACAAAGTTATAGTGTATGATGCTGAGGTTTGCAGTATAATTGAACTCATGATGCCTGAGGTGAGCATAGTGCCCAATAGGTAGTTTTTCTATCCTTTCCCCATCTTTCTCACCCCTCTTGTAGTCTCCAATGTCTACTGTTGCCATCTCTATGTCCATGTGTACCCAGTGTTTAACTCCCACTTGTAAGTGAGAACATGCAGTATTTGGTTTTATGTTCCTGAGTTAATTTGCTCAGGATAGTGGCCTCCAGTGCATCCATGTTGCTGCAAAGGATGTGATTTATTCCGTTTCATGGCTGCATAGTATTCTATGGTGTATATATACCACATTTTCTTTATCCAATCCTCCACTGATGCACACCTAGGTGGATTCCACATCTGCTATTGTGGATAGTGCCGCGATTAACATGCAAGTGCATGGGTCCTTTTGGTCTTTTGGTCTTTTGTTCAAAATAAATTTTGAACTATTTATTTTCTTTGGGTATATACCCTGTCATGCGATTGCGGGGTAGGATGGTCGTTCTCTTTTTAGTTCTTAGAGGTATCTCCAAATTGCTTTCCAAAGTGGCTGAACCAGTTTATATTCCTATCAACCGTGTAAAAGCATTCCCTTTTCTTGCAGGCTCACCAATATCTGTTATTGTTTGACTTTTTTATAATGGTCCTTCTGACTGGTGTGAGCTAATATCTCATTTTGATTTTAATTTGCATTTCTCTGCTGATGATTAGTGATTATGAGCATTTTTCATATATTTCTTCACTGCTCTTTGTCTTCTTTGAGAAGTGCAGGTTCATGTCCTTTGTCAACCTTTTTTTTTTAAATTTTTTGAGAGGGAGTCTTTCTCTGCTGCCCTGGCTGCGGTGCAGTGACACAATCTCGGCTCACTGCAACATCCACCTCCCTGGTTCAAGCAATTCCCCTGCCTCAGCCTCCTGAGTAGCTGAGAATACTGGCGCATGCCACCATGCCCAACTAATATTTTTGTATTTTTAGTAGAGAGAGGGTTTCACCATATTGGCCAGACTGGTCTAGAATGCCTGACCTCAGGCAATCTGCCCGACTCGGCCTGCCAAAGTGCTGGGATTTCAGGTGTGAGCCACTGCGCCCCACCTTGCCAACTTTTTAATAGGATTATTTGTTTTTTGCTTGTTGACTTCTTTAGGTTCCTTATGAATTCTGGATTAGATGTTTGTTGGATGCATATGTTTTCTTCCATTTCTCAGGGTTGTCTGTTTACACTGTTAATAGTTTCTTTTGCTGTGCAAAAGCTCTTTAGTTTAATTAGATTCCACTTGTCAATTTTTGTTTTCATTGCAATTGCTTTTGAGGACTTAGCCATAAATTCTTTGCTATGGCAGGAGCGCTTCTTTTCTTACTACTATGCATCACCAATATCTCCCTATTCTAATAGTAACTGTAATATTAATATTGTTGTCTCTCAAGATGTGCAGCTGATAGGTTCTAGGAACCCCCAGGGATATAAAAATCTGTGCATTCTCAATTCCTGAAGTCAGTCCTGTTGAACCTTCAGATAAGAAAAGTTGACATACTGTACACGTCATTTCCTCCACATTGGGTGCTATAGCCAGGCATATTTCTTGGGCCAACCCTTGTTCACATTCTTTTACCCTACCACCAGAAAATATGCACACAACTCATTTTTCTTTGGCATCCAAAGAATGTAGAAGGACCCAGATTCCCATATACCTTCCATAAAATAAGTGCACTCAGATGCTAAGCAGAGCAAAAGGAGCTGTAAGTCATTAACATCAACCATCTTCATCAGCCTGACACCTACATTCCTCCTTTTCAATTATTATTTGAGAGTCCTACTTCTTAAAAGGTAGAAGTTACAAAAAATTATCCTAAATTAATCTGGAAAATATGCACTAAATCTAAACTTTTCTCGACTGCGTCTGAGAAACAAAACAGCCAGGAAAGCCAAATTACAAGAGGGACAGGCACCCTCAGAGAGGGATAAAATATAAAAACTTATGTTCAAAAGAGGATGGAAATAAAAGATGGCTACTATACAAATGCATAAGAAAAGCCAATTACTGGTTAGCATATAAGTTCACCATAATTTGAGGCGCCAGATGCAATGAACATTTGCAATTACTACTTGTAAGAGTTAGGAAAATCTAAATATTTGAATGGGTAGAACCAGTTAGTAGCTCACTTATTACACTGTATATATCATAGTCTTGATCCAGTCATGACTTTTTCTCATTTCTGAACATTCATTCATATTAACAAATACATTGTGAAAACTAAAATTGTTTATGATTCTCAATTGTAAGACAAAATACTTCTGAGAGAAAAAAGTTTTTAAGTATAAATACTATTTTATCTTCACTTACAAATATGAATAAGTTGAGATGAACAAGTTAAATCTGTAGTAAATTATATAAATTAAAATATGCAAATTAAGTTTATTGTCAAATTGTCATTCAAGATAATTATTCAAGTAATTATTTTCAATAAACATTTTTGTCTCTTTAAGGATTTATTTGTTCTATGAGAAATGATTAATTAATAGCCTCAGTGAAGATAATATTTCTGAAGATAATACTGTGTCTTCTCTTCTCATCTAAGCTATACCTTCTTGCACAATTGCAAGTCTGTCCAGGGACATTCAGTCCAGAGCAACAATACAGGGCAAGGAAGTTCCTCAATGTTGGAAAAGATAAAATTGATGATTTTACAAATTTGTAATCTAATTTTAAGTTACGCTATCAAGTTTGGAAGATAATTAGCTAGTTACAGCAAATGTCTTAGAATAGCTTGTTCTTGAAGTTGCCTTTTGGGGGAATAATCCTAGACCTTTTCTAGAAAAAAGTAAAATAGTATTCCCCAGGAACCCAGGTTTATCTTAACTCAAATACTTATTCTCCAAACTTAGGGACAGGTAAAGATTCAGGTCTAATGGAAATGTTACCAGATGCATATTTTTAAATTTACTTATGTAGAACTAAAATGAAATAAATGTTTTATTTGTTTTATTCCTAGAAAGTATTTAGCCTTTATTTTGGAATATTTTTCAATGAATAAGATAACATTGTTATTCTAAATGAAATAATCTTATTGCTTAAATTCAAGAGAGTTTAACCATTGAGAAGTTCTAACTTATTGTATATTATTAAATAACTTATATATACTTATATATATATACATACACATATATTCACACATATGTGTCTGGATAAAATATCTGTTTATATGTCTATGCACACATATATATATGTATTTACAAATATGCATATATATGTATTTTATTATAGCCAAAGAAAACGAAATTTAACAATTTATAGCAGACAATTTTAATCATTTTTCACCGCTATAAAAATAGCTCTTCTCTCTGGTAATACATTTCTTAAATGGGCGCGCTAAATATTCTATTTAAAATTTGTAGATATATATGTCAATAAAGTTTTAAGTAAAAATGTACATAGGTTCACACTCAAAGTTTCAAATACTTCATAATTAGTTTTAACAATTTGTATGTAAAAAGCATTATGGCATTATGGTAGCTTACTTAGAATGATATATGTGGCTGAGTTTTTTGTTTGTCTGTTGTGTTTCATTTTGTTTTTGCAGAAGTTCAGCTCTCTCTTTGGTAAGGAATATTCAGAAAACACATGCTTTGAAATGTACGAGTAGAGAGAAGTGATTTTTGAGATGCCTCTAAGTGATGCAACCATACTATCTTTGGGGGAAAAATGTTAGATGCTTCCATATGCAGAAAATATTTAATGCTTTAAACATTTATCTGAGCTCATATATGCTGACTGAGAAATATGCTTGTTGAGTAAACTCCCTTCTATTTTTGCCAGTTGCTTTTAAGCAAATTTATAGAAAGAGTTTGACTGTCACCTTTAATATTTCATCTTTCCAAGATACGCTTTCATAGTATGAAATGTTGTTAAGATACATAGCTCTCAGTTTTCTTTCTGGGATTAGATAGGGATAAAGATAAAGAACTTAAGATAAGTGTATCTGCTTTAAATTACAGATTCCCATTTAACAGCAACTTGACAGGACATGCTAAGATCAAGTGAAGGACTGAACTGGGACAAGGAAATAAAGGAAACAGGAATATTTCAACAAATGCTTAAGAAATTAATAGAAACATTGAAAGTTGTCAAGAATACATAGAGTACAAATAGATTTATTATGCATAAACTATATACACATTATTTTTATTTTAGTCTCTCGAATTTATAAATTTGGAGTTACCCTAATCAATATATTATTAAGGATAATGTTTCTGTCCTACTTCAATTCATGTTATATTCTATTTGCATCATGTGCTTTCTACTAAATATTCTTTGCAAGTCACACCTTCATCATCTGAAAAGCAGTCTTCATTTTACCAAACTGTGATTAGCAATTACATTAAATCCATAATTGTTTCATAAAAAATGGCTTAACATTCCCATTTTTGTCATTGCCTTTTTTGTTTGTTGTACTTTGTAGTTAAATAATACGTTGAAATTGAAGAAATGTATCTGTGTTCAATTCATTCCTGCAATAGATCTGAAAGTTACCACTTTCTCCTCTGGGATTTTCATTGTGTCAAAGATTCTACAACACTGACATTTTATGAGAAAAGAATAACTTCGAGTTAGATACATGACAAATAGTCTTCAAATCTAGACCCCTACATATAAATTGTTGACTCAGATAATATATAATTCCTATCACTGTGAAACAAAAAGATAATATGTGAATGCATGTGCATATATATAATATGTATATATATACACATATGTATATATATGATATACATGCTCATGCATTCACATATCTTTTTATATTAGCTATCATAGATATTATTTTTACCTTTTTCAAGAGGAATTATTTTAATAGTGTCCAACTAAAACCTCAGAATATGGAGTGATCGTGTTTACAAGGCAATTGGAGAAGACAACCTCTGTGCTTGATGTCTGAGACATAGTGATTACACAAGGTTTACCCAGGAAACTCAGCTGCTTTGGTTCCAAGCTCTCATCTTGAGGCCTGTTAACAGCTCCAGTGAGCCTGGACTGTCAGCTGGCCATGAAAAACTTGTCTCACATTAGCCACTTTAAAAGCCTCCTCGTTTCAACTGCATCCCTTGGTGTCTGCTTTTTTTCAGGGTAGAAACTGCTTCCCTCAGCCAATTTTCTCCTCTACATGTACTAAGAAGGAAACATTACATAAACATGTTTCTTACAGAATTTAACAAATGCATGCACTATGCTTGCACATTTGCATAGAATTTGTCCATAATATAACCTTAATATACAATCGATTCTGATTCCCCCCACCCTTTGTGACTCCTTGGTCCATATTTGGATCAAACAGAAGGTTCCATAAATATTATTACTAACGGGATGAGTTCTTTTTTATTTTCATATTACCTTGCAGTGTGTAAAGTATTTTTATACAAATGACTTATTTCTCAGGAAAACCATATAAATTGTTTACAACAGGGATCATTGGTATTTACTTTTACATATTAGGCCATGTTAAGACTTAGATGTTTACTGGATTACCCAAGTTTCCCAGTACAGAAATAAAAGGAATTCATAATTCTATTTCCTAATTAAATTTTCTATCATGAGTAGAATTAATAATCATATGCATGAATAAGGATTAGTGTGGTTCCTAACACATATAATTGTTTTTATGATGACTATGATTATATTCACCAGCATTACTGTTGCCGTTATTGTGATTCTTGTGAAATGCAAAGCTTGCTTGAATAATTATTGCATATGACAGTAGACTATACATCATCTTTCTTTCTTACCTCATAGTATCCAGTGCTTATGGATTATTCATATGCATATTTCTAATATATTATATTATATTATATATTACATCACATCTGTATATCATAAGTAACACAAAATAATTATTGTCAACTACTTACTACGTTCCAAGGATTCTAACTGTTATTATTCCCTAACTAAACTTTAAAAAAATGCCAAATTACAAAACTTCAGGAGGAGTTACCAGGCAGAGGTTAGCAAGTATATGTCTTTCAGCTTCCTTGGAGGTACAATTGAAAAAGAGATAGAAAAGTAGAATTTATTTCATTTATTTTTCTTTGCCCTTGTGCATGAATATTATAGGTAAAAAGGGTGCAATATTTTTAATAACCATCTCAGGTCAAAGCACAGTAAACACAATCTTTTATGTTAACTATATGTTCGATTATTGGAGGTTTTAGAAGTCACATTAAAAGCATATATTTTTCTTTTCCTTTCTTAACTGTACATGTATTCCTAACCAGTTCAAACATTAAATCCTGCTAGATAGAAACTCCTGAACAAATGAATGTTTTGTTTTTAGAATAACAGGTCAAGAATTTTGCACCACAGTAGTAAAGCTTTGGGTGTTCATTAAAAAAAGGGCAGACAGTGTTACAGACATGAGTACAGATTGGATTTATCTTGTGCCTCTGGCAAATCATGAAAAGCCATGAAATGCTCTCAGATCCTCAGATGAAAGGCAATATGAAGTGAAAACAGATGCTTTGAAAATGAATCTTAGTTTGCATTATACTTTTCTGGTTTTAAAAACATTTCTGAAAAAAGCAAAAATGATTAAATACATATTTTACAGGTATTTTTTTTCGTTTTTCACTAATGAAATGATAAAACATAAAAATGTAAATTGATTACTTTCATTTTTCCCTTCCCAGCTACATAAGTGGATTTGTTCCAAATATCTCCAAGATTTTCCTACTTACTAAAATATAGTAAAAATCTTTATATTGGGATAACAATTTGGAGGTTAATCAGTCAAGATAGTGTCTCAATAACACATAAAGTTAATGAAACATTTCTAATGCTTAAGGATTATTCCTTTTTTATCCACCTTCTACCTAGAAAGATGACTAAGAGTACTGTCAAGAACAGTTAAGTTTCTAAGATATATTCAGACGTGGAAGCAACAACAAAGTTATACTCAATTAGCCCAAAGGAACCAACCCACAATCCACATTAATCTCCCTTTCCAATTTTGAATCTTATTACCGAATTTGAGTACTTTTAACATCAGAGTGTAGAATCACTTATGCTAAATTCTGATCCACCGAGTAGTAGCAAAAGAGAGGGGATACTATGAAGTACAGTGGAGATATTGCCAAGTACATGCAAATTGATCTTCATTCTATGTTACTGGCAAACAAAATGTTCGCAATATATTTTTTAAAAGTACCTTAAATTTGTATAATGGTTCAGTTAGAGTCACAATGTCTGAAACCACCAGAATTAGAAGAGAGAATATGAATTCAGTAGAAGATAATGCACTCTGAATGCCCAATTTTTAATATCCTTTATGACTAGGTGTGGATGGCTGTTATTGACATAATGTGCCTCTTTTACCCCTGCAAATTTAAGTCCTTAGTCAAAGCTATGATTTTCCTTTCTCCTTCTGGCATTCTGTGCTAATTTTGTTAAACCATTTAGGCAGGACAGCAATTGGGAAGCAATTCACGTGTAGTACTAGCATTTCTCGACATATGACTCTTCCAGTCAGAAGGCTTCCTTCCAGCAATTATGAGACTGGGAAGTTCACACATATATCAATTTTAGTTATATGTCAAGATGCAGAAAACACACACACAAAAAAACAGTAAAAAACAGTATGTGGAATTAGCCCAGATGACCTCAACCTCAAGTTGTCCTTAACTGCACTTCCCTCCTGTGAGCCCTGCACAAACGCTATTAGCTTAGTTAATTGCCTGTTTTTTCCATAGTACTGATTTGTGTGCTCATATCCCGTGGTGTCATATATTTGAGTCTGCCTCTCCTTGAAATTACTGAGCATACTTAGATAAGATTTTGTGACTTTCCGTCTTCCTCAGACGGAGGGAGACCTCAGCCAAAGACCTTATAACTGCCGTTGCCCTTCAAGAGGCTGAAATGAAGACAGAGGGAAAAGAAGGGTGTATCTGTCCATTTTTCACACTGCTATAAAGACACTCCCCAAGGCTGGGTAGTGTATAAAGAAGAGAAGTTTAATTGACTCACACTTCCACACGGCTGGGGAGGCCTCGGGAAACTTATAATCATGGCAGAAGGTGAAGGAAGAAAGGATCTTCTTTACATGTTGGCAGGGAAGAGAACTGTGAGCAGGGGAAATGCCAGGTGCTTATAAAACCATCAGCTCTCATGAGAACTCACTCACTATCAGGAGAACAGTTTGGAGGAAACAGCCATCGTGATTCAATCAGCTCCCACCCGGTTTCTCCCAGGTTACAATTCAAGATGAGATTTGAGTGGGGACACAAGCTTAACCATATCAGAGGGATTGGTAGGAATGTGAAGGAAAAGAGTAGCTCCAAGGTCCTCAACAATCCTTTAGATGTGCTTTTGGTAGGAACTGGTGTAGTGGAGGCTCATGATTCATCCGAAGAAACTTTCAATTATTTTTGACCTGCCATTCACTTTATATCAGGTATGAGGTATTCATGAGTCACTCTATTTTAGCCTTGGAAAGTTTGTGAAACTTTTGTAAACAGTTATAGCTACATTACTTTCTGGATGGAACCACAAGTTTGTGCTCTGTAATTTATATAAACTTGGCTGACAGTGCAGAAACTTTACCGATGATAGCTAAATTGAGGGCATTTTCAGTTCCATTAATATGAAAGCATTTCTTCTTGTCTAGTGACTGTATAATGACTAGGGGACTTTTTCACGACTGAAGAACATCAAGATTTTACCTAGATTTATTTGCATCAGTTTCTCATTATTTGGTGTGTCAATTTAATCAGCATAGTAAACTCAGTCTGGGGCAATAAGACCTCAGTTACTAGTCCATACCTCCATCTATATTTTCCCACAAAAATGTGTTTGTCTCAGGAAATCTTCCTGAGAAGATGTAGCAGCTAGGTCCCACTGGGATGAACAAACAATCTCTGAGATGTTTACTATTGTCTTCTAGTGCTTAGTTTAGCACTAAATGGACTGTAGGTGTGATAAACTGTAGGATAGATTAAGCAGTGAGACTTCTCAGCTGTCGCAATTTTCGTTAACACACATTACATATTATGCTCCTTCATTTGCAAAACAGACTATCCAAACTTCTAATAATTGCCTGGTTTCTTCCC